CTAATAACATTGAAGCTATATCAGATATATTTCTCTATCAGTACAAGGTGAAAACAAACAGTAATCTCCATCCTATGTCAACCAAGAATTTCCTCAAACAAATCCGTTATATAGCTTGAATATATAATTCTCCTTATTTGCTAAATTACGATGGTTGTAAAATTTATCAGGGAGATGCTCTAAGTACTTAAAGGAAAAAAGGTCAAACTTACTATTGAGATGTCCTTCAAGCCACCATTTGCACGGTCTCCATTCCACTATTCTCTTAACACTCCATATATCCGAGTTCCTGCTGAATAATATAATCATATCTGAAAAATCAGTGTATCACCCAACAACTTCTACAGAGAATTACGTGACTTCTACAGTTAGGTTTACTGAAACAAATTCGACCTGTTAAATAGCTTAATAACTGAGCTAAAGAGGTCCAACTAGAGGGACTTGATTCAGAATCAAATCAAATACGAAACTGGAAAGTATAAACTAGCTTTCCCCTTATCCTCCCTGATAAATCCCGGGAACCAGACAGAGATGCGAAGAAAATCAAGAATTTACTTACAGGGGTGAATTGGAAGTGATCCAGATCTGTGAAAATGGATTGGGTGGAGAGAGCAGAATGACAGCGATGAAGAGAGAGAACAGGAAGATGACAAGGAACGATGGTTTGACAGAGACCGCAATCATTTGATTAACGGTCTTTCCAATTTAGTTTCTTACAAGTAAAGATAAGCAGATCAATGGAGGGTGTCAGTGGAGCAAAAGAAAACGATGGCTCATGGTTCTCTTCGCTGCAAAGGGCGGTCGGACCCTGGAAAGAGAATTGAAAATTATATATACATATATATATATATATATATATGACCCCGTTTCATACGAGTTGCTCGTCCGTCAAAACCGGCCGCCCGGATGGGCTGGGCCGGTATGGGCCGGGCCGGATTTTCTGGGCTGAGTCATTGCGTGTCATACTGGACTTCTATTTGGACAATGTTTAGGCTCGTCAAAAATTAATATTTTTTTAATGAAATTGTAACAAAAATAAATAACATAACCCACATAGCCTCGATAAATTATGTTGAATTTATTTGTAATTTTATTTTTAATTTAATTAATAAAATATAAATTGTATAACTCATTTTCTTATTATTTTAGTTGAGACTTCTATTATTTTTTAATTAAAAAATGTGAATACACAAAGAAATTCTATACAAAACAAATTTTGAGTTTATTCTAAATATAAATTTTGTTTAAAACAAATGTTTAACTTTTGTAGTCATTAAAATTTTATGCTTTTCTCAAAGTTATCGCTTCATTAATCAATAATAAATGAAATAATCATGTAAAGAAATAAAATTATTATTTAATTGGGTTTAATATATTTTTAAAATATACTTGGGTTGTATGTAATAATTATTTTAATAAATTAAATCTTCTTTTGAATGGACTTTTTCTAATTAAACGTGATTTTACTAATGGTAAGTATAGAATATTAAACTTACAAGTATATATAAGATGCTTTTAAGTTTGATTATCAAGTATATGATTATTTTCATCTTAAGTTTTTAAAGATGAAAATGCAAGAGTATAATTTATTTGGTATAGTATGTTAATTTCGTAAGAACATTTTTTTTTTTATAAGAAAAATTATAAAAATAAAATAAAATAATTATATTTATTTTAATAAATTTAGATTTCTTTAGTCGTTTTTTGTATTATTACACTTGTAAGCACGGTGTATTGTCATAAAAGTTAGGAAAAGCTGGAAAACATAAAAATAAAAGAAATAAAAAAATTAGGGCAGTCATCCATAGAAAATAATAAAAAATGTGATGGAGCCAAGAGGATACGAAGACGATGACTTATAAGAGAATCTTTTAAGGATGTCGAAGTGTACGTTTTTAATTCTCTAGTGTATTAGTATAGTTTTTGTAACTACGTTGACTGACTTTGTTACATAACATATCCGAATGAAATAAATATTGTATGACGATTAAGTTTTATTAGTTGGTGTATTCTTTATTTTTTTTAAAAAAAATATAACAAATAATGATATAATTATAAAAAATTTATTGTATACATATAGCGAAACTATTCATACACTATTATAATCTAATGTTAGGCACCTTATGGATGGTGACTCCCTTAAATAATCTTATAATATATGAACAATTAAATAAGAGTCTTGTTTATCTCTTAATTACTCTTTGAATGTTTTTAAACCTTATTTATAAGTTCGTACTTAATTCAATTACAAATGATAAAAAAATTTTAAAAATAAAAAAGACATGAGCTCAACTAACAATTTATATAAAATTAAAATAATGTATTTTAAATTTTAATTTTATTTTAATTTAAAAATTATTGTTCGAATTCGAGATTAATTTCTAACGATATCACCATCGTTAATTAAACTAAGTACAAATTTACAAACAAACTTTACATTTTTTTTTTGTGGAAATTAATTACAATTACAAACCTTATACTACTCGTTAGAACTTTGTTTGGAATTTTTTTTTGGTTTCCTTTTTGAATTTAATGGTGGATGCCTTCCTATTCAAATAGCATGATGTACATTGCACTCTCGTGTACGATAGAAAGCATAACACATATATATATATATATGTATATGTGTGTGTGGGTCATATTAAGTTAAAAAATTAAATTTAATTAGTCATACAACACTCAATTATTTTGTTTTACTCTTTAATTAGAAATCACATGCATATGCCGAATCCATCATTAGATTATTGTGCTCCAACAATGAAACACACCATCAAACAAATATTTATTTGAAACAAGATTAATTTATGTGGGTGGTTCTATTAATTAATCATATGTTTAGCACAAATCCCAATTCGCAATTAACTAATTTGGGGTTTAATTAATTTAATTTTTTTTAAAAAAAATTCATATTCTAATACTTTAAATCAATTAGGTTATGATAATAACACATAATCCATAATGATAATCATTCAATTAAAGAATGATTTATTTAATACTTTATTAGCTCAAATCCCGATTGGATTTTCTTTCTTAAAATAATTAAGATCATTTAAATATTATTATATTTTTTTAAATCTGAAAGTACAATCATAATTAAGAACACTAAAACCTATTTTTTTTTTTCAAATTTAATTCATCCACTAATTATTTTAACGTGCAAATCATTTTACATGCATCTCAAGTGTGTGTGTGTGTGTGTGTGTGTGTGTACACATACATACATATTTTACACATTATATACGTAAATCATCTTGTTAAAATCATAATTATAACAGGGTTAGTATGGATAATAAATGTTAACCAAATATTTACAAGCTAATTGGCAATTTTATTACGTTTTATACAATTTTAAATTTAAGTTAAACTATATATTTAATTATGTTTTTTGTTAATGTACATGTATTTTTTCCTAAAAACATTTTAAGAAAAAAAAAAAAAAAAGGCCGAAAACAAAAGGAAGCACCAAATAGGAAAGTGCCGGATGGATTATAGAAACGGCAGAAAACAACAAATAGGAAAGCAATTGGATTAATGACGTGGCAACAGGGGTGAGTCGGTAGTGATGGTTGTCCTAGTCAGCACGTACAATGACGTGGCAAACTAATCGTGATGACGAAGTCAAAACGTGTCGTATAGGGACTACAGCTGTGGGGTCTATAAAATCCATCCCCCAACCCTTTCGCCTTCTAAGCTCTTCCCGTGAATTTCTGTCCTAAGCCAAGTCTTGATCTCTCCCTATATTACTCTTCTGCTCTGCGCACTTTTCTCTCCACTTTACTTCGAATTGCCCTAACTTAGAGAGAAAAACTCTTGTTTGGCATTCAATTTTCTCGGGAAAAACAATATGAAGGAAAGTGCTGGAAACCCTCTCCATCTCACGTCCTTGAACCACATCTCGTTGGTGTGCAGATCAATCGAAGATTCAATGAGTTTCTACCAAAATGTCCTCGGTTTTGTCCCCATCAGGAGGCCTGGCTCTTTCAAATTTGATGGGGCATGGTAATTAATTGATTCATTAACTTGGAGGTTTCATCGAATTTAAGGAATTAAGATCAAGAACAGGATAAAGAATTGAAAACGATGTCTTGATTTTGATCTCTCCGGAATCTTTTAGGGTTTCCTGTTTCGAGTTTGTTAATTTTCGATGTCTGATTTACGCAGGTTGTTTGGACATGGAATTGGAATACATCTCTTGCAATCGGAGGATCCATCATCATTGCCGAAGAAGAAAGAAATCAATCCCAAAGACAATCACATTTCTTTCCAGGTAAATTTTCAAAACCTAATCTCTTTATTTGTTTTGAGTTTACGTGATTGATTTGACATCACGATAGTTTATTTAATAATGCAATTCTTTATGATTTCGATTTTGATGTCATGTGGAGGCAAAGTGGATCACGACATTGACATGGCTTGATTCATGTATCACCATAATACGTACAAGAAAATAAGAGCCTCACAAATTTGCAGGCAGAGGAGTCTATGAAAATATTGTTTGATTCAGAATGCGAACAAATGGAAAAAGACAAATTTCAAGAAAAAGAATATGTTTACGCAAATCTTTCTTTCCAACAGCTTATAATGAATATATTGACTATTTTTTCTTTACTTTCCCATCACTCGAGAACGAACAAAACAAACATCTTGTTCTTTCTTTAATAAATTTCTAATCACTAGTGGAGTTCTCAGTGACATCTTGTTCTTTTTTAATAATTTTTTTTTTTTATCTTTAATGGAACTCTCAGTAAAATTCGAACCCAGATGATGAATTTTTGATCATATGTCACATAAAAAAAAAGGAACGGATGAGTCTTGTAGATTTCTTCTTTCTGAAATAGTTGATTATTTGTCCGCTTTTCATGTTCTGTGGATAATATCATAACATCTCACGTACCCCCGCTCAGGTTTCCTTTCTTTTCTTTCTCACTTAAACAATCCCTCATTTACGTGAAAAATATTGAATGTGCAGTGTGAGAACATGGGAGCGGTGGAGAAGAAACTGAAAGAAATGGGGCTTGATTGCGTGCGAGCGATTGTAGAAGAAGGTGGAATAAACGTGGAACAGCTGTTCTTCCACGACCCAGATGGATTCATGATCGAGGTATGCAACTGTGACAATCTACCAGTGATCCCACTTGCAGGGGAGATGGTGAGATCATGCTCGCGGGCTAACCTGCAGCTGATGGCGCAGCAGCAACAGAACATTTCCATAATAAAATCATGAGCAGATGCTGTTTTGTTTGTTGAATTGATTTTGGTCGACCATGTAATAAGATACATTCCTCTAGATGTGATCCATGATAGAGAGAGATGATCATTTTTCCAGATCTACTATTTTCTTAATTAATTCAATGTGAACTTCTTCTTCCTTGCTTATTGTGGTGTTAATTGGTATTATTGTTCTCTCTCTTTTGCTACATTTTAGACCGTACCTATGTAAATGGGTAAATTATATTAATGATTAATTAGGAAAGGTAATTGGGTATTAGCAAATTCAAATTTGCTGTATACAGTTTTTTAATCTAAAACATTTAAAAGGGTGTTTACTGTTTTGGACTTAAACACTGTGATTATTAATTTGTATAAAAGTGATGATTTATAACTTTTTTAGATTAACAAAAAACTAATTTTTTAAAAATTTTTTTATAAAAAAGTAAGTTCTCGTTCATCTTTATATCTATAAAAATGTTCGTCAACATATCATCATATCATAGATCGCATCTACGAGTGCACGTAAACTCGTTACATGGTCGACCAAATCAATTCAACCCAAAACAGCAGCTGTTTGTGATTTTGGAAATGTTATATTGCTGTTGAGTTATTATCTGCAGTAACACCGTGATATTAAAATGTGCAAGGATCGGTCGAAGAAGAAGAAGATCATTGAAATGTGTAACATTGTAAATTTATATAAAAAAAAGTAACA